TATTTAATATATCATTCTGTCTATTATATCTTTTTACAGTATCTTTTTTTTTTTTTTTTTTTTTTTTTAACTGGCATACCTACTCCTCTCCAATTTATATTGATGATTGACCTGAAAACGGTCTCATCGGCTGTTAAAAATACTTTTATCCTCGAATGCAGTTCTTTGTTATAAATAAAGATATATTTATAATAATGATAAAAATAAAATTTATAGTTATTAATTTAAACTTTTAAATATTAAATAATAAAAAAAAAAATGTATATATTAGTCAGACCAAGTGTTGTTAATGTGTAAAAATGTATATATTTATTTATTGAATAAAATGAAAAATAAATAAGTATAAACTCTTGTAAAGGTTTGGAATGCCGTTGAGAAGAGGGAGAAAACCAGAGATTAAATAAAAAAATAATAAACGTTTTTGAGTATCAAATGGACGCTTCCGAATCCCACCTGACCAAATGGAACCAACGAAGAAACGAACAACCTACCTTTGGAGGGAGAGTAGAACGGACAATGTCCAACTACAACGAATGGTTATAAAACTAAATGGAACAGCGTAGAGGACGAGAATGAGATCGAGAACGAGGACGAGACTGCAGGTAAGCAAGAAAACATCTGAGCCTTCGTATTCGAAAACTTTTAGATGTTGGATGCTGGATGCTGGTATATGGTATGGAGCAGGAGAATGGAAGTACATATAACCGAAAACCTGTGTTTCATCTCTGTATATATATATATATATATATATTTTACACACAGTTAAATCTCACCGCGGTGGTTTTTTTTCTCTATTCTTCTGCACGAGGCACAGCTTCGAGGGTAGAGACCTGGTACAGATGAGAGGAAAGAGGCTTAGGGGGTTCAAAACTTTTAAAGTTTTCTTTTTAGTACGGTGGGCAGGTGCGAACCGATTTCTATAGCTCCTTACTTGGTAACGGATTCCAAAATCCGATATATGTATATAAATATATACAACAGAAGAAATGTACAATGTAAGAAAAACGTTATAACCGTCATCGTAACGATTTACTCTGTACAGTGTTATATATTATGTAGTGCAAAGTAGATTCCTGTGGATCAATTATTATAAATGTGCCTTTTCAAACGTAATCTACATATTCTCTTTTACGTACAACATCAGTCATTCAATCTCACGTACTCGGTGCAATTCTACATGAATAATAAGTATGTGAGTGTTGTACCTATATAAATTTATGTTTTAAACGTACAATTTTATAGCTATATAATTATATATTTCTGTTTATGGGTTGAGAGTGTCGTAAATATAAATATAAATAAAACCAAGTAATATAGAGTCCGAGTTTTCAGATACAAATTATTATTTTCAGAACATTGTTATTATTTATGGTGGTAATCGTGATGGACAATTGGTATTGCAAAACATGACAATGCAAACGAGCAAGGACGATTTATATCCGCCGGAAGTTGAAGGTAACGTCCAAGGTTGCATTGAAATCCTGATGACGATCCACCTCCCCCGAAGTTAGAATAAGCGAAAAAAAAAAAAAAAAAAAAATAAGATAAAAAAAAAAAGGTAAGAATATCAACAAGTTGACGCAGGTGTGCTCCTGACTGCTAAATTTTATACCTGCAGAATTGAAATTAGAATAACAGTAAATGCGAAGTTGAGGTTTTATTTTCGAGCTAAAGATTTAACGACCGAGTACTTGGAAATTTATAATAACGAACTTTGATTATCGGTAGGTAGGTATAGTTGTTAACAAAAGCCCGCGCCGAAAATTCGGTTTACATGGATTTTATTTTTAGATTTTTTACGAGTTGAATCAATAATTAAGTACTGTACAAAATAATCATGAAAAGCTTTACTGCTTTGCTACTATATACCTTGTATTAGGGTATTTAGGTTTACCATTTTAAAGATTTAAAGGAAATTCTTTTAAAACAACCTTGCTGGGCATTGTTGAAAATTTTCCGTTCATTGTTAAGTCACCATGAAAAATTTAGCCGCTTTTACAATATACCAAGAATAAAAGTTTTATTTTTTTTGTCTGTAAAAATTCGTTTTATTCTTTTTGTCAGGACCGGACGTCTTTTCAAATTTCGCTCGTGTTCTCTTCTCTATTTTATTAGTATTTATAACGTATATATATATATATTTATATAGAATAGTATATGTAATAAAAAAAAAAAACTTCAGAAGAGCCCTTCCGTGTATAGTGATACTGCGTAGTTTTTTATTTAAACGCGTATAATCATGAATTTAGACCGACATCCTTGATGGCGAGATGAATTTTTCGGCAATTCTTCTTTCTACTAAACGAACTTTGGTCTTTTAGACAACTTACTACTACTTACATATAATTTATGATATACAATACTATTATACGTATATATAAATTTTTTAACATAAATATTGCTACTATTGCAGCCAAAAACATTGGTGTATGTAGACATATAGTATTACTTCAAGCTTAAACTCATAAAATAACAACCAAAAAGAATAACAATGAAATAAAACAATTTTTTTCTTTAAGAGTAATTGTATATTTGGAGTAGGTGAAAAATTACTATGATTATTTAAAACTACTTTGAATTTTTTATGACTTAGAACACTTCTTTGAAGTTTTTTATGTAACTACTTATGTAATCCAGTTCAATAGATCGGATTAGAATAAATCGAAATTGTCTGCAGGAAATAATAATACATATTTTATTTCAATAAGGGAAATTTTCGATTCAAAGTAAGTAATTTAAGTGAATTGGTAATTAATTAATGTGTCTTTGGTATAAATAACCCAATTTATTATAATTGAACTTTTTATAAATGAAACAACTCGTAATTCTGGACTGTAAATTGCTTTCTCAGAAAGGAAATTTCCCAATTTAAAATGAATTCTTACAGTAAAAAATATCTTTATTATTTGAATTCAATCGGAATTTACGATTAATTTTAAAAAATTTTATACTCCAAAATAAAATTTCTATTTTAAAAAATCATTTTAAGTAAATCAAAGTTAATTTCTATTTTTATAATTATTAAAATTAATTTTAAAATTCAAATTGTTTTTCTTCTGTATTTAATATTACCTTAACGGTAAGTCAAAAAAATTTAATAAATTAATAAAATTACAATGCAACCTAGCTCATTAAAATTCAGTTTTAAAAAGTATGTTCAGTGATTTATTGATACTTAATTCATTTCGATTAACTAAATCAAGTTTGAAAATTTTGTGGTTTCTTTTATTAATCTAAGTTAGAATAAAATTGTTTAAAACGGAATTTTATCCGGATAAAGGAACTTCCAACTGACTCTGATTCATCGGCTTACGCAGTATTAAATGTATTTTCCTAAATTTTATTCTTCTAATGTGTCTTTTCAATAAATTTCTCCTATTTTTCATTTAATATTTCACTTGAATTCAATGAAAGTGTGTCAAAGTGACTAAGTTTTCAAATAAAGACTTCTTTCATTGAAATTTTTTCAACCACCTGAAAAATTAATCACAAACATCATACAATTATATCTATAAATGTCGAATATGTACATCGTCATAATACAAAAAAATATAAAATCAACATTTTACATAAATGTTGAAATACTCATCCACATGTGTTAAGCAAAAAACACAAAACATCATTACCATAAAAACAAACGAATCCTAAGTAGCTATAGAGCAGATGTTCGATAAAAATTATGTTTGTCAACAAATCATCGTTAAAGATTAAGGTAAGAATAATAAAGTAAGTGCAATTCGTAGAATTATTATGCTGAGTTATCATCTGAATTGGTGACATTAAAATTCTATATTTTTAATTTTCATTTTCTACATTAAATTCCAAGTTTAATTTGATTTTACCTTGTTTATTTACAAATTATTTAAATTTAAATTAATTTTTACGCAATAATATGTTATATACTCACAGAAATTTTTGTCTTGTAAAAACTGTAATATACTATGTAATAGAAATTGCCATTTGGCCTGTGCCTTGGCATCAATGAACAACAAAATCTAAATCTAAAAATCATAAAATCTATTTATAAATAATCACGAAGACTACAAGATCTGCAAAAATAATATAGTTATTAAAAGAAAAATAATTAACATGAAAAATCAAGAATTGTCATAAAAACTTTTCATTGTTATATATAATACTGAATTTAGCTGACATCAATTTTTTTAATTTTTATAACAAATCAATTGCAATAAAAGAAAGCGCCTTAAAAAATTTCCATTAATAATTTTTTTTTTTCGATTTTCACATTTGGAATTTTTTTTATAATAATTTATTTGCTATAAAATTCTAAAAAAATTTCATGAAAATTAATTTAGCAGATATTTAATAATTTTTCTAATAAATAAATTACTGGATAAAAAAATGAGAAAAAAAAATTGACATTTAGAAAATTTAATAAATTAAAAATGCAATTTTAAAAAAAAAATTTTTAGAACAAATTTTTTTGTTAAATAATATTAAAAAATGGTCAAGTGACAGCTAACTTTAATATCATAAAAATGTCAGTAAATTTTCCAAAGTTAGCTGACAACTTTCAATTGTTCAAATTTTTATAACAAATAAATTACAATAAAGAAAAGTGCTTTAAAAAATTTCTTTTAAATTTTACCTGAGAAATTTTTTTATTAAAATGTTTTAATAATAATTTAACTGCTACAAAATTTTAAAAATTTCTGTCAGTTAACTTCAGTATTTTTCATTGTTATTAATAAGACTAAAAAAAAAAAACAAAGAATTCAAAGTAAAAAAAAAACATTACTTTCCCCTATGTGGCCTTTAGATAACTTATACAGTTGAAAAATGGGTTTATTATATTTTTTCTCCGGGTTCCTCGCTGACGTAGCTACGAAATGATAACTTCTGGTGTGACGTTTAACTTGATACCGCGTAGATTGTTCTCTCGGGCGGTTAAATATATATTTATATTGCATACATAAGTCCATATCTTATTGTGAAGAGTAATGCTGACAAAGACCGCGTGAGTTTTTAAGTCCGGGGTGATGGTTACCTCGGAGCCTGAAGATCATCTCGTCTGTAGTTTTGAGTGTAGACGTAGACATCCTCGGGGAGAGAGGGGACGGGGGTTAGGTCATCTCCTACATATATATATATATATATATATATATATAGTTATCCGCGTTGTTTAACGTTACAGCGTATGGGAATCGTTACGGGTCCCGACTATAGTCGGTTGGAATGTGTCCGTCTTTTTTATTTCTTTTTGTGTCTCCCTGGTGTATACCTGGGTAGCTTAAAGGTACGAGTCTGCTCAGCCTCCGCAGGGTCCGCAGGTAATCCCGTCTCAGCGTCCGGTCTCCGATCGAGTCAAGCTTGTGCCGCCTCATACTCAATACAAACTCACTATACTACACATCTCTTCAAGAAGAAGAAGAAGAAGAAGAAGAAGAAGATCAAGACCGAGACGAACAAGGGCGGGCGTATCTTTTCTTTCTCTTTTCTTCTCTCTCCTACTATACTGTCTTGAAGATAGAAGACAAACCCAACTTCACTCCGGTGAGTTAAGAGTGTAGGTATAAATACGCCGGTGACTGTGTGGTGCGCTCAGAAGCTCAGAGTGGGGACGCGAGGTCGTTTTGTACGTTTAGTTCAAAAGTTGTGACGTCATGCGAGGGGATTCGAATGAGCCAATGGGAAAGTAGCTGAAGAAGTGGGGAACGACGAGAGCCGCGGGAAAGGTGTGTGTGACCCCAGTGGTGCTTAGTGGTTCAGGGCGCGGGGCCAGTTTCGCAGTGAGTGCGGTAGTGATCCCATCTCCGTACCCGGGTGTTCTCTTCTTTCACTTCTCTCTATTCTAGTCTCTGTGCTGCTGTGTGCTCCTCATTCTCAGCAAACTTTTATTTAAGTTACCACCGTCAACTAACTCTAGTCGTTCTCTTTCAACCACCAGCTATTAAACATCCACCGTTGAGTATTATTTTCACTGGAAATAATATTGGTAAGTTTTATTTAATATTATTTATTATTATTATTATTTATATTTGTATTTTTTTGTTCAACCGGCTCAATTTTTTTTTATTTTTTTTTTTTTCCCCAGATATTATTCATATTTTATCCGGTTAAGGCTATGGAATTATTATAATTACTCCGTTCATTTTACTATTTACTTATTTATATTTTATTTTGTTTTATTAGTTAGACTCTGAACGCGTCGATACGACCAAGTTCCCACGTACAGAGACCGGAAAACCTTGTCGGCGTTCTTGTTACTTTCCACCGATCGCCGACACGCTTCGGCGTTCATCTTTCCTTAAGTTTTTATTTCTTCTTATTTTTTATTTTTTAATCAGTAAGTGAATGAATTTTTTTTATAAATATATTAATATTGACTCTCTTAGCAACAGCCTTTTTTTTTTTTTTTTTTTCATTTTTAATGGTAATTTATTCAGAAAACATGTCACTTATCCAACTGCGTTAGACTCTAAAAGTGTTGATTTTTTTTTTATTTTTCATACATAGATTCGGCATTTGATAACGATAATTAGAAGAGCGTGCAATCAGAAATATAATTATTCAAGAGTATTATAAAACTTTCCAACTAATATAAAAATCTAAATATAAATGTATAATCATTGAGTGTGTGAGTAAATAATTTCTTATTCGTTTTAACGCTTTGTTTGTTTCGAGACTTTTAGTCATTAGCTGTTTTTGCCATTGACCTTCACATATTTTTTTTTTTCTTTATTTTTAAAATTTATTATCTACGGTCCATTATTTTCGTTTTGGTTTATTTAATTAAGAAATAAATAAATATTAAATTAAAGTTATAAATAATTCAAATAAATATAATAATAATAATGATAAGACGATTTGAAGGTTCGGTTAAACGTTTGAATAAATTTTATCATGACTAATTTTGTAATTAATGAGCTAAATTTGTAGTAACAAGTGTTTAAATTTATTTCAAATGAAATTTATTTAATAGAAATGATAATAAGAGTTAAGTACATTGTCGAATGTTACACATTTATGTTTATCATCTTCCTTACACAAACTCAATGGCTCTTATCATTTTTATCGCAATTTAAACTTTATGCCGGATCCATACTTATTAATAAAATAAATTACGTATTATTATAAATGATAAATTTTCAATTCAATAGACATTGTCGTTTTTTTAATATAAATTATCTTTAAAATAGTATTGTTAATGATACTCCGATGGTTTTTTTTTTTGTCTACCGCTGTAACAAGAGAATTTATCATTTAAAGAATTATTTTTTATTCATTAAACTTTTAAACATTTTATTATTTATTCTTTTGCTCTTTTACTGAGTGTCTCTTTCATTTAAAAAGGTAGTTCGTGACGAGCAAGCTTAACAATTTATCGCTTTTTAAAATGTACGAGACGTTGTCGATTCCAGTAACGGAATGCTGAGTGCAAACATACGTTTATTAGCCAAGGTAAAAATCCCGAGATACATGTATTTATATTGAGATTTTCATTTATTTAAAACTATCTATATTATTTCATTATGTTTCAGATTTAAAAAAATTTATTTTATTGTATTTTTAAAGAATACAAAATATAATAAACGATTGACTTTATCGTACTGAGAAATAAATGCGGGAGAGTATAAGAAACTTTAACGATAATTGCGTATCACTTGTGACGTCAAATGTTACACGCGTTCAATCACAAGTTGAAAAAAAAAAATTTCTTAATAATCTACGGTATCAATGTAACAAAAAAAAACATTATTTATTTTTAAATATTTTCCGCATTACTCATATCTAAAACGATTAGTGGATTTTTTTTTTTTTATTTTTACGGTTTTGTTATTACAAATTGTTTTATTTCAAAATTTTAATTCAACTTTAATAGATACGTTTGCGAAATAATTATGTATCATCTTATTGACGGAAAAAAATATTACCGCAAAATAAAATTTTAATTTTGCTAGACAATGATTCATTTATCGTATTATTCATCGTTGAATAAAGAATAACGTTAATTTTTTTATTTGAATATAAAATTTTTAGTACGTTATTTTTATTGCTGTATTTACACTAGATATTTAAATTCGTAGAATCCGGTGAATACGACAACCTGTTTAAGTGTTTAGCTATTTTACGAGTGCGTTTGCTTTTTAATTTCTATTCATACTTTGTTTGAGAACGGTTAAACATTTGGTACACCTGGACTTGAGTCTTTATTTAGTTGTTCTTATATATCAACAGTTGATATCGCATTATATAAATTTATATTTGCTGAAGAAAGGAAAGTCGAAAAACACATTGGATAAAGATTGGATTAAATTATTGAGGCGTGAATATTACCGTCAGGACAATGCTGTGAATTTAATAAAATTCCATAAATTCGATTATCTACAATCTCATTTAAAATCTATAAATCTTGGAACGTTATTTTTGCAATGCATACATATATTTATTTATTGTAGTAATGCATGTACGCAGTGTATGTGTAATATTGTACAGAGAAGGGAAAAAAATGTAATGAACATAAAATGTGGGTGAAAAAGATAGACGGTGAGAGCTAACTTTGAATAAAATAAAATGAAATAAAATCGAACGCGGACACGCGTACGATATGGCAAGATCATAACTTTCTCCAAATGAAAACCGTTACGCAAACTCTGGCTATAAGACCAACTGTTGCTCACTGGACAACTTTAGTATCTTTAATTCGTCAATACAAATTTTGTTACTCATATATAAAAATAAAAATTAATTTTTTACTAATTATTAATTATTATTTTTAACAATCACAATTTTATTAAAACAAACTTGGAATTACTGACGATAAAAAAATTTAATAGCGTATTTGAAAAATAATTTTTATTACTATTTTTGTTTTCATACGCCGAAAAATGAACATAAAGTTTTAATTTTAAACGCCGACTCGTATTCAGTTTTTAAGCAACTATTCTGACTGATAATTATTATTTAACTCGTTGATTTTATGGCGATGTAATGATGATAATAAATAATGAAAAAAATATATTAAGAGTAGAGTAATATAATGGATAATTATATAGTACCGTAAAGACCAACTCAGACGCGATTAAAACGAATTACGGTCGACTTTCTACAGCCAAATGTCAACGGTTGTTTCACTTTTTCATGTCCCGTATACTTACTGTGCGATGATGTTATTGCATATCAATCAATACTACTTTGCTTACTTCTACATCCTATTACTATTAGTTATTTGATGACAAAGAAAGCGTTGTTATAATATATTTATTTCTTCTTGTTCCAGGTGTGCCACGTGCAAAGAAAGGCATTCTCTTCTCATCCTCAAGCTCTGCAACATTAATATCATTATTATTTTTTTTTTTTTTATTATCATCGAGTGAAGAAAGATTTGATAAATGAGATGAAGAAATAGTAAAAGGACCAATGGATTAATTATCTGATTTATTCATAAGAAATGACTTGAAGATGTTTCATTGTGAAGACTATGATGATGATGATGAAGATTATTCAACATGTTGGCTCGGACATTTTCTTTGGTTATCTAGCTGTATGAGTGTGTTTAGACTTCATAAAGCTAGGTTACCGGAGTTAAGATCCTCGTCATATCAACTTCACCGATCTTTGTATTATTTTTTACAGGGATTTATTTTTTTTCATGCATCGGTTAGTTTTTAAGAATGGCCTTGTAATTTAGTACTAATTAGATTTTAAGTTTAATCACTTAAATGTATCTAATTTTATTATTATTATTATTAAGTTTTGTAATTTAGAAAGAGTTATTTATGATAATTGGTAATTGAATACTTTGTAATGAGTTTAAAATTAATTAATAGTTATGTTAATTTGTTTTGTGCATTGTGTCCCTTTACTTGTATTTCCTGAATGAGTTTGAAAGAAAGAGTGCACGATTTTTTTAGATGGAGATACGCTCTGTGACGATGCTCGTTCCCACAATCAAAGACTCGTCGAGGCATTTCGTGGTGATAATAAATATATGCACCTACGCAATGAGGGTTAAGTACTTTACTTTACTTGGTTTCTTTAAGAAACAAACTATGTAGTTTAAATTAAAACAAGGAAACCGGAAAATAATTTGTTATATTTATTATTTTATGTAATGTGTATACTCATTTATGTTTTAATAATGTCAACGTACTTGTGATGACATGTTTTTTGTTTAGTTAGATAATTGAGATTATTATTTTTTTTATTTTCACTTCATTCAAATTTTACGCGATATCATAGCTTTGAAAAAGAGATCAAGTGTTTGATAGAATTGAGATTATTAACCGAGTTATCTTTTTCTTATAATAGATTTAATCATTGTATTGCAGAATATTATTTATATCCAGCGTTTAAATATATAAGGAAAATAACTTTGTAGTTTTCTTAAACAGGTTTTGTTAATTAAATAATTAAGTTAATTTTAATTAATTTCTCATTCAATTACAAACAAGTTCATTTTTAATTATCATTATTATTGTCTTTGTCTTTTAATAAGTGATTATAAAAATATTTAAATTAACA